TTAGTGAGAGAACTAAAAGCAAAGAGAAATGGGGATGAGTCCTAAAGAAAATTATTCTTGTCTTGCAGCTCTACTGCATGAAGGTGACCTGTTAAAATTTCTGTGGGCACTGCTGAACTAGTTCCCTCAGGTGGAGTGGAGAGTTGTGTCTGTTGGGATTAGAAAAGTTAATTCTACTTATAAAGTGGATTCATCAGAATTTAGAGGATCAATATCTCCAGCTTCATCAGGGTCTTCCTGATTATCTCCCTGCCAGCTTTCAAGATCCTACACCCTTGCAAATTTTATGGTAGACAAACTGCTAGGCAAGGAATTTTGTTTTTATTTCAACTAACTACTCATACGATTGACTTTGTATCAGTAGTCTCAGCACAGTAGATGCAGGACATGAACCTCTTTTAGGAAGGGGTTGGAAGCATCCAGGTATTTTATTTAAAGATGGTAATTCAAATTCCTGAGCTTATGTGTTTTTCTTCGACTTTCTTCAGCAACATTAGGAATAACTAACAATTTCATTATTCTCATTGTTTGAAGAAAATGTTCAAAAGTGTCTTAAAGCATTTGTGTTGCTATAACAACATAACTTAAGTGTGATGATTTATAAGGAATAGAAATCTGCTACTGTCTGCCTCTTATGCATGAGAAGTGCTAGATCAGGGTGCCAGGAGATCTGGTGTCTGGTGATGTCCTGGACCTCATAAGGCACCTTTTTGCTGTCATTTCCCATGGAGAGGAGGGAGAAGAGTAATGCCTTTGCTATCTCACATGATGGAAAAGGAAAAATGCTGTGTTCTCACATGGTGAGTGAGAAAGGAAGAGTCCTAGATGTTCTTGTCAAGTATTTCGATAAGCATACTAATCCAATCACAGGAATAAAGCTTATTCACCTCCAAACTGAGACTTGGCCCCCTCCTAAAGGCCCTACGTCTGAATGTGACCACAYTGGATCTTAGATTCCAACATAATGAATTTTGATTGGACATATACATTTGAACTCTAGCACATAGTTACTCAGATCTTTGCCTTCAGTGTTTTATTAGAAGTGTCAAGGGTGATATTTTGTGGGTCTCTATTGTGAGATCATAACATGGCCTACCATGCTTTTTTTACTACTGGAAGTAGACTATTTAGTGTTTTGAAAGTGATCACTTTAGGAGTCCATTCCAGAGGCTCTAGAAACAAACCAGAAAACTCATCCTTAAAATRCTGTTTCTTTAGAATTGAGTACCAAATTCTGGTTTAGGCAGGGCTCTCCAGGCAATCAGAATAATAGAAGGAATAACACAATTCCAGGCAATCACAACAAATTGAAGAGAAATTATGCATGCACACACACATTATAGGGAATAGGCTTAAGGAATTATAGGGGTGGATACGTACAAATTTGCAGATGGGCCAGCATGTTCAAAACCCAAGGGAGCGCTAGAGACCTCATCTGGTTTATGACAAAGAATCTCTGAGAGTATACAAATACCTTGCTCCTCTACAGCTGCATCTTGCAGCCTTGTGAAGTTTTTGCCACAAATTACATCTTTATGTATTTTGTGCCCATAAACATAGAGATAAAATTAATATTTTATGCATTATGTAAACCATGTGGTGAAAGCACCGGGGTTATGAAAGATTCAATACTGCTTGCTTTTAAATTTATTTTTGTAGTTACTTTCATGACCTTTCCTTATTATTTCCTTTTTTAAATAATTTATCTTATTTGACTATACTTTTATTTTTATTTGAAAAATAACCATAGGCTCTACAATGCAGTCCTCAAGCTAACCAGCTTGATCTCCACAGATAGTTTAATTGCTTTTTTGCTGGGAATGTCAGACCAGGAGCTATAGATAGTCTCATGAGGACAATCTGCAGAGGTCTCAAGTCTATATAATTCTCTATAGATCTTCAAGTGTTAGCCCTTGAAATCCCAGTAAAACTCAAAATGACCTATTTTAGAAGGAACTCACTCGAGGCCATGTTTCATTGGACATCATCTATTCATCTGCATGATGATCATTGTTAGCACATACGGGCCTTGAGATCTGAGGATGTGCTATGAACCTTCAGCTATGGCTAGGCAAACACTCAAACATAACAATCACATTGATACACTTTCAAATGATAACCTCTACAGATGATGTTTCATAGGCTTCCTTTACTTGTTGGTTATAGACTCAATTCTGAGAATTATATGTAAGAAATAATTTATCATGTTTATTTAAGGAGGAGGTAAAATGATTCTTCCAAGGCCACAGAAATAATTCCTCAAAGATTTGCAATATGACCCATGCTAATGTTCTTTATTTTATTTGTTCAAGTCTTAAAGGGAAACTTGTGATCACTACCTGAACCAGAACTCCTTTAATAATCTTATGCATAATCTGATTATGATTTCAGAATCCCTATTCTGGATTGATTGTTCTTTCTCTTCGGGAAACTGGTAAGTTTTATATCCCACAAACATTTTCATGAGAAGTGTAATGTGTGCAAAAGAAAGAGGGCAGTTATACCTACTATGAGTTATTTTAAAAAGAGAAATAGATATTTTCAATATGTTTCTAAACATCGTGAGATGACTTTAGGGTATAAATGAGAAATTTTTCATAGAAGGTAATTTGGAGACACTGATAACAATTTCTACTTATATGTCCAAAAATTTGAAGAAAAATAAGACTTATGATTCTATGCTTGATGAAATAATAATTTCATTTTGTTCATTATATATTTGTTCTCATTGGAGTTAAACAAACAAGACAGATATCAGAAGGATGAAATGATCCTGATTTAAGCTACAAAAGGGTTCTAAGTCAATYACCAGGCTCTGAACTTCATTGTAATCTTTTCCCCATAATCTCATGTTTGCTATTGTTAGCTCCTCTACACATGTGGACAGCAATGTGGATAAGAGCATAGAGTTTTGGTTAGGTTCAAGTTGATTTTAACTCTTGAATCTGTAGTCTTTCTCCCACTACATTGTGCAATTTTAAAGTGCTGCATAACTTTYCAAACCTTCAATTCCTTAAAGATGATGTAAGAATAATAATGCTACTTTCCTCTCCTCCCCTCCCCACACATATACAAATAGAGTCCTTTTCACTGGTTGTAGAACAGAGTATATRTTTAAGGTGGATCTGAATGTTAAAGGTTGCAACAAATGTGTTCAGGGGCTGACTTGCAACATGAATTTGACAGAGGCTCAGGAGAAAGATGGCAGGGAATAGTAGTTAGTATTGGGTGGACAGTCTTCCAAAAGTTTCAGTTCCAGTAAGAAATGTAAAATATGGTTAGTACACAAGAACAGACTCAAAATGTTTACAATGAGGAATTTGCCACCCAAACAGATCTATGTGCTAAAGACAGTCCATAAACTGGCAACTTGCAATGTTTATCTCTGTGATTTGGCTATGGCATGACAGTAGTGAGAGAAAGAATGTTTTATAAAATGAATTCTTTTACACTACACTATGGATTTCAAGAAAGAAATTTTAAAAAGAAATGGCTCAACTGGAATTGTAAGAGCAGTCATCACATGCTTGGAGAAAGGACTGACTGAGAAACACAGAGAGCACAGAAAATTTCAGTGGCCCTAGAGAGAGAGAGAGAGAAAGCAAATTTGGAGAAGGAAGTTTCAAGACCCTAAAACACACCTAAATCCAAAGGTCTGCAAGTCAGCATCTGCCTTGAGCAAATCAACATAAAGACCGTCAGCCCACCCTAATAATAATGCTACAGGTATTCCCTTTTGTAAATTATCATATTAGGTTCTCACAAAGATACCCCAAAATAGATATTACTAATGTCTTCATTTAGCAGATAGAAATATGACATTCAGGGAGGGGAGTTAGGTTAGGAGCAATGACTGCTAGGAGGTAAATGGTCAGACTGATCTGCGTCTTTTCTATGCACCTAAGCTCTATGCCTGCTACATTTKGTGATGTGCCTTGGCTCAACTGCTTCTGCAGTTGGAATAGGCTCCCACCACTCCAGCATAATAGATATATAGAAATGTGCTATGATAACCCAAGAATTAATCTTATCTTCCAATCATCCAAAGTTTATGCTTTTAATCACACCGTTGTCAATGTGTATAAGTCTTGGTGATAATCAAGATTGTTGGAGATTGTTGGAAAAAGTTAAAATGCAGGTCAGAGCTTATTCATTCACTTAGGATTCTTGAAGTTGAATGGATTATCTCAACCTTAGGTTTGTTTGCTTGGTTATTTTTTTCTCTGGAGAAAGACAAACATAGTAAACAAATGAAATTACTACGTAATAACTCAGTTCACTGTGAAACCCTGAATACTGAGTTTAAACCAAGAAGGCAAGGAGTAATTGTGAAATCAGTAAATTCAACTGGCTATTAATTTTTTATAGACCATTAGACTGAGTAACCATTCAGCAGGGTTAATGGTTGGCATGAATCCCCAGCAAAGATTGACAAACAATACCTATGTAAATTTTAATAAAATTCTCAAGCACAAAAATTTAGCAATCAAGCAAGATCTTAATATTGTTGAGAGTGTTGAGAGAATTATATATATATATATATATATATATATGTATATAAAACGTGTCCACAGCAGTTCTTGACAGGCAAGCAACATGGAAGTGTCAGCTTTTACTGTATTCAGAGAAATGAATGGATAGATACCAGAAATGTCATTTTGATCAGGATATCAAATAGTCTACAAATAAATAAAATACTGTATAAAAATCCAATATTGGGCATATGATATRTTGAAATTACTCAGAATCATACCATTTAATATTGTAGGTGAGCAATATAAAAAATTTCATTTTTTAAGACTGCGTATTTTCTGGTGCTCGCTTTGGCAGCACATATGCAAAGACTCTGTATTTTCTGGAGTATCTTGAAGTTTAAGTTACTGGAACAAGCTAAGTTTCTGGAGTATCTTGAAGTGTAACTTATTCCAGCATTTATAATTTCAATTTTAATTCTTTTTTGATCATTCTGTTCCAAAGAATCTAGAGATTCTCCTATAACATTGATGGAGAACGGGACAGAAGTGACACACTTCATCCTGCTGGGACTGACCAATGACCCAGGTCTGAAGCTTCCCCTCTTTGTGACCTTCCTGCTCATCTACACCATCACTCTGGTTGGGAACCTGGGGATGATCCTGTTGATTCTCCTGGACTCCCGTCTGCACACTCCCATGTACTTTTTCCTGGGTAACCTGTCCCTGGTGGATTTTTGCTACTCTTCAGCTGTCACTCCCACAGTCATGGCTGGGCTCCTTGTAGGAAGTGAGGTCATCTCCTTCAACGCTTGTGCAGCTCAGATGTTCTTTTTCACAACCTTTGCTACTGTGGAAAACTACCTGTTGGCCTCGATGGCCTATGACCGCTATGCAGCAGTGTGTAAGCCCCTGCACTACACCACCACCATGACAACTAGTGTGTGTGCATGTCTGGTCATAGCTTCCTATTTCTGTGGTTTCTTGAGTTCCTCCTTCTACATTGGGGACACCTTCAGTCTCACCTTCTGCAAGTCCAATGTGGTCCATCATTTTTTCTGTGATATTCCAGCTGTCATGTCTCTCTCTTGCTCTGATAGACATGTGAATGAACTTGTTCTTCTTCCTGTCTGTGCTTTCAATGTGTTTTTTGCTCTTCTTATTATCTTAATATCCTACATATTTATTTTTAGCTCGATCTTAAAGATGCGCACAGAGACAGGACATAGGAAGGCTATGTCCACCTGTGCCTCCCACTTCACTGCAGTCTCCATTTTCTATGGGACTCTAATCTTCATGTACTTACAGCCCAGCTCCAATCACTCCATGGACACTGATAAAATTGTTTCTGTGTTCTATACTATGGTCATCCCCATGCTCAACCCTATGGTCTACAGCCTAAGAAACAAGGAGGTCAAAAGTGCTTTCAGAAAGATTATTGGGGAGGTAGAATAATCTTTAGGAATTTGATTTTAACTAGGATGCAAAAAACTCATATTCTTACCTCTGAGATCTTACCCAGGTAATGAGCGATATATTAAAATCCACACTGAGCTGAGTGTGGTGGCTCACTCCTATAATCCCAGCAGCTCAGGAGGCTGAGACAGGAGAATTGCAWATTCAATTAGCAACTTAGCAAGGTACTTAGCAAGTCAGCAAGACCCTGTCTCTAAATAAAATATAAAAAAGGGTTTTATATAAAATATTAAAAAGTCTGGGGTTATGGCTCAGTGGTTGAACACACCTATGTTCAATCCTTGGTAACAGAAAGGAAGGAAGGAAGGAAGAAAGGAAGGAAGGAAGGAAGAAAAAGAAAGAAAGAAAGAAAGAAAGAAAGAAAGAAAGAAAGAAAGAAAGAAAGAAAAGAAAGAAAATCATACTGAATTTGCATTCCTGAAGAGATATATTTACCTCTGCATAACTCTGTTGTAAGGAAAAAGGGAAATATTATGTCTAGAAACACAATCTCTGAATGTGAATGTGTCTGATTTATTGTCATTGTTTATAAAAATCCTTAGGAGGAATTATTCAATTATGTCTGTGTAATTTTTCTACTCATGTCCCTATAAATGTATGTAAAGCAGTGCACAAGAAGTTCATTAACAAGAAAAGTGAATGCATGACAAATGCACATGCATGTGGTAAACTTGCTAGCATATATGTAATGTGACTACTGTGGTGGCTACTTTCATGTTAATATAACCAGATTAGAGATATCCAGATAGCTAGTAAACCTCTCTCTCTCTCTCTCTCTCTCTCTCTCTCTCTCTCTCTCTCTCTCTCTCTCTCTCTGTGTGTGTGTGTGTGTGTGTGTGTGTGTGTCTGGGAGGAGGTTTTCAAAAGAGGGAGTTGTCCGAATCAGTAGACTTAGTGAAGAAGATGTGCTCTTATCAGAGTGGGTGGTCAATATCCAATTCCTCAAGAGCTCATCCGAATAGAAAAGAAAGGTATGAAAAAGACAAATTCTCCCTCTCCTTTCCCTCTCTCCTTGCATTGAGACATCCACATCTCTCACTCTGGACCTCAGATTCTACGTGTCACCCCACCCCCACACTGCTTCTCAGCTTTCCTGGTTCTCTGATTTGCAAATAGAACATCATGGATCATCTTGGCTTCTACAATCACATGAGCCCATATCTCTAATAAATCTCCTCTCATTTGTCYATATATACTATTGATTCTGTTTTACTAAATAAAACATTATGGCTTAATGTACGAAATGTAATATTTAATTTGCATATTAAATGTAAATTTAGATCTAATTTTTTTTCTAAACTCCTCTGAGAGTATTCACTTGAGAAAAAAATGCTATGAAGTGAAGTGTGTGCTTCTTTGAATATTTAATGAGAGATAGATAAAGCTGGCACTGCATGTGAATTAAATTTCTGTTTGAGACATTTTACACAATCACCATGTCCATGTTTTAATTTTCAAAGGGATAAAGTAACTAGATTACCAAACATAGAGACAAAAATATAAGCAGTTTCAATATATTCATGTATTACTATGAATTTTCAGCTTCTTAAAATTTAACCTGAGAAACAAATAATAATATCATTTTTCTTTCTGCAAAACCTTGAAGATCATTAATTCTGCCCAAGGATTCTTTATTTATTGGAGTTATATTCTCTGTTGGCACTTCCCCARTCTGTATTTCATTCCATACCCATTTATTCCCTTTCTACTTTTTCACAACTCCAATMATGCTCCTGCCTCAGGGTTTTGCACTCTGTTCCCTGTGAGGAATACTCTCATCCCATTCAGACCTTTTCTAAAATAGGACCCTGTCATGTACCCTTCCCTGTGATACTTTATAAAATATTCACTTTCATTGCACTGTAGAAACTGTCCCTTTATCCTGTGCCAATTTTCATAGGCCTTGTGAACGTCTACCTTTCATGTATTTGCTAGCATGTTTCTTAGTATCTTCCCCAATGAGAATGTAAACTCAATGAGGACAGTGACTTTATCTGTTGTGTTCAAGCATGATCACTGCTAATTGAATAAATGTCTATGCTATAGTAGATTCTCAACAAATGCTTATTAAATGAGTGAATATAATAATAAAGCTCTTTTGCTCAATTGCACCCACATGTTGGCCTTTGAATAGTTGAGGGAGATGGCGAGTTTTGCATGAGATTAAAGTTCTGAAAGATAAATAAGCAGTGCATTCACAGGGACAGTAAATTTTCTGCTTTTCTGAGACTGTTTTTTTCCCCACATTTTCTTTCAGTTTTCACACTTCACGCTTTTAGACAAAATGCTTTTCTGCAAATCCCATCATGGAGTAGATCATTTCAAAACTCTTGTAATGTTTTTTTTGGAAGTGATGTCTTATTCAATGGCAAGTAACACATCTTGTAAGAACTATTTAGGAAATCATGAAAAAATAAATAAATATGAGAAGAATTAAATACTTCATTTCTGGTTATATTTCAAACATTACTTATGAACACAAATTTACATTTAACTAAAATGATTCTAAAAATGTGTGTGGAACATATTACATTTAAGTTTTTAATTTTGATCCTCAGCAAGCTCAGTACTATGCAAAAATCCAAGTCTTCATATGTAATTTGTTGTCACTAATATATTAGGAGATTTTAACATCACAGGGATTGAATGTGCTGAGAAGGCCATGTTATGTTTGTGGAGCTGTGTAGTATAGCACTAAGATTCACTTCTGCATTTATATTTCTCCTATTGAAATTATTGTTTCAATGGTTATTTAATTTTGTAATTATTTTGCATTTGTGGAATATTTTCAAAGATAGTATGATTGACATGTAACACTCYGGCAGGGTCAATAACAGGCCAAAAGATTCTCAGGTTAATTTCTGAAACTTTCCAATATCTCTCTTTCAGGGCATGGAGGACTATGAAAATTGGATTAGATCAAGGATTTTAAGAATGAGAAAACATTGGGCTTATCTTTTTTTTTTTTAAAGAGAGAGAGAGAGAGAGAGAGAGAGAGAGAGAGAGAGAGAGAATTTTTTTTTAATATTTATTTTTTAGTTCTCCGCGGACACAACATCTTTGTTGGTATGTGGTGCTGAGGATCCAACCAGGGCCGCCCGCATGCCAGGCGAGCGGGCTACCGCCTGAGCCACATCCCCAGCCCTGGGCTTATCTTTGTGTGCCCTAAAGGCAATGCCCTGTAAGCTTTGAAGGGGTGTTAGAAAGATTTAACCATAGACCAAGAGGAGTCKGTGGTGTGACTATGGAAGCAACATTAAAGTGACATGGCCACAAGCCATAGAATTTCAGTTGTCACTGGAGGCTGGAAGAAGCAAGAGATGGAGCATCTCCTAAAGTCTCTGAAGAGACCACGCCTCTCACCCACCATTGATTCCAGCTCTATGAGATGTTTTCACACTTTTGGTTTTCAGAGGTGTGAAAGAATCAATACATGTTGTTGTAAGCCTCCAAGTTTGCAGCAGCCACAGGAAACTAATTCAAGCCCTCACCAGGTTTCTTGTCAGAATCACAATACTATCACATRCCAGTATGGGAGAATTCACAGGAGAAGCCATCTGTTCCATAGGTGTTTGGGGTTGGGATGTTATACAGCATTAATTTAATTGTTACACTTTTGATAAATAAGAGTCAYATTTTCTCTTTCTCTGGAGTCAGTTTTGGTATTGTGTGTCTTTTCAGGAATTTGTATATTATCTGTTATCCAACATGTTGCTGTGTAGTTATTCTTCATATTATTACAATAATGTTAGTATTCCAACTTATTATTATTTCTATAATATGAATAGTCATAGTCTCCTTTCCATTTATGATTTTAGTAAAGTGAGTTGTATCTTCTTTTCCTAATCAGTCTGCAAAGTTGTGTCATTTTGGATGATCTTTCTACACTATCAGMTTTCAATTTTCCTATTTTCTCTACTCCCATTCTATATTCTACTTTGCTTACTAAAAGCTTAATATTTGCTACTTTTCTTTTGTTACTTGTAGTTTAATTTTGAAGTATTACTTTCCAAAAGTTTTAAAGTCAGGCTATGCCCTTGAGATCACACTTTTTTTTTTAATGTAGTCATATAGGCTTTAAAACTTCCTATAACAAATGCATTTGTTCCTTACCAAAACTCGGATAGGATCTGCTTTTATTTATTGCAAACTATTTTATAATTTCTCTTTTCATCTATTTTTATCCATTGCTTGTAGTGTATTCTTTCCATGTGTGTAAACATTTACATTTCCATAGTTATTGATTTCTAGGTCGTCTGTATCGTGGTTAGTGAAGATGTTTTATATGATTTGAATCTGTCAGCCTATTGGAACTAGACCTTTGACCTACTATATGGTTTCTTAAGAATGTTTYATTTGCAATTGAGAATTCCACTCTTCCTTGGGCAGATTGTCCAATACAATTTTGTTTACATTTGTTGGAATATGGTTTTGTTCACATCTTTTATTTCTTATTAATCTTCTCCCTAGTCATTATATTCATTATGGAAAGTGAGGTTTTCAATTCTTCATCTCTTAGAGTAAAACTGTTTCTTTCTTACATTTTATCAAGATTGGYGTTGTGTAGTTTGGTTGCATATTGTCAGATGACCAAATGCTTTTCATTGTATTCTCTTCATTAATTGGTCCTTCTATCAATATATATTGTCTTTATTTTACACTTCTAATAATTTTTGGCTCAGAGTACATTTTGCCTAATACTAATGTGTTTGGTTATTACCATAAATCTTCATTTTCCCAACTTTTCACTTTCATACTATTTGTGTCTTTGTATGGATATAAGTATTTTGTAAACATTATATAGTTTGTCTTATTGTGTTTTCTTTGTTCTGCCATTTTCTACTTAYGTTGGAGAGTTTAATCCACTTATTACTAAGCAATTAATGACAAAAATAACTCACCAKCCTTACTCTGTCACTATGCTATTTGTTTCCAATGTATGCTGGATGTTTCTTACATCTTGTTTTATAGCTCCTTTG